GTCCCCTGCATCGGCAGGCGGACTCTCAACCAGTGTGCCACCAGGGAAGCCCATAATGGTATCTATTTTTAAGACTGCTGGGTCGATTAGGTGACATATGTATAAAACTTGGCACATAGCAAGTGCTGGATAGATGCTTGCTAGTATTATTACCACATAAAATAATCTGACTAGTTGTTTAAATTGTCTTTCAATGCTGCTCAGAGCTTTTAGGATAGGAGAGGTGGAGGCTAAAAGCATGGATGCCCTCAGCATTTACAGCCCAATTATTCTCCTGGTTAGACGATTACTAGTTGAATAGGTGTGAAGGTGCTCAGTGTTCACACCCCCAGGCTGCTGATAGGTCAGGATTACCATTACCAGATCGCCAAGGAAGAAAGGAGGCTGGGGCAGCTCAAATGACTTGCACAAGGTCACTCACCTCAAAAACCAGGGCGTGCCGGACCCAAATCCAGCTCTTATGCCTCTTGAAATTGTATTACCTGCTGCCTTGCCTCCACGCTCTCTCTGCCATATGGGATGGTGGCAGGGCCCATGACCTCAAGAGCCCTGTGTTCAGCCAGGCTTTTTACTACCGTCTCGGCAATTCACTTAATTTTTTTGACGCTCTCGCTTGCAAAACTTGGAAAATAAAAACCACACCTCCAAGCTTTGTGGCCAAGATCACAGGCGAGAAAAGCACTTCGGAAAGATCACAGGCGAGGAAAGCACTTCGGACTCTGTAAAGTGCTGTACGAATAACCTCTGCAAAAGGCATTTGCCTTGAGGCCCCCTAACTTATCGGCCCGGGAGTCGCTCGGGTCTCCACGCCTTTCCAAGGCCGCGCGGCGCGGGGTAGGAAGGAGGATTAACCCCTGGGCTCCTGTCTGGGCGTTTCTCCAGGCGGCCGCGGAGGAGTTCCGCCCCTCGCCCCGTCCAGTCCCGCCCCGCCGCCTCCGCTCTCTCTCGCCCGCACTCGCGCTCCGCTAGTCTCTCCAGCCCAAGGCCCGGCTGCGCTTCCCCGGCCCGCACTGCAAAGCAAGGCGCGGCTGGCGGGCCGCCAGGATGCAGGTCCCGCACAAGGAGCACCTGTACAAGCTGTTGGTGATCGGCGACCTGGGCGTGGGCAAGACCAGCATCATCAAGCGCTACGTGCACCAGAACTTCTCCTCGCACTACCGGGCCACCATCGGAGTGGACTTCGCGCTCAAGGTGCTCCACTGGGACCCGGAGACCGTGGTTCGCCTGCAGCTCTGGGACATCGCAGGTGAGCAGCGGGGGAGGGGATCGGGGGCGGAAGCGCTTCGCAGCGCGTCTCCAGTCCCTGGGCAGCGGCTTGCGGCGAAGTGGGAGACCCAGATCTCCTGGCCGCTGCGCCGCAGGAGACTTCCCGGTGGGCTGGAAACTTGGTGTCAAAGAAAACAGTTTCTCGCGCGCAGAAATTTCAAGTGCATTCACTGGAGCTTTGGGGCTGTTGCTTTATCTCCCTCCCACAGCCTCCCCTGGGATCTCTCGCCCCAGCGCGGGCCTCCCGGGGGACCCAGAGGGAGAATACCGGGAGTTGCATTCAATTCTTGGTCTCCAGCTCATTTTCCGGGCACGAGCAGTCCCGCCGGTGACGCGGCCCTGAGTGTCCTGCCCGCCCTTCTGTGCTTGGGCCATCGACGGGAAGACCCTAGACCGGTTCACAGCGGGAACCAGGAGAGTTCCAGGCTAGAGGAGTTTCCCAATTCCAGTTTCCAATCGCTCACTGCATTCCAACTTTTGCTACCCCCCTTTTCTACCCTTCAATCAAGCAAGTTGGACGTTCTCTGCTTTGAGAAAGCCCAGGAACTTTCTATATATGTATTGGGGGTAAAGTATTATTTCCCTCTCTCTTTCTTTCTGTCTCTCTCTGTCTCTTTGTCTGTCTGTCTGTCCCTCTCTCTCTCTCTGGCTCTCTGTCGTCTATGAAAAGGAGACTGAGTATGTATTTTAGGGCCATTTTTGTCTAAGGGTCTATGACATTAGCCACAGATTTCTTGATTTGTCCCTAAAGTTTTCACTGAGAAATCTGGAAAATGAGAAGCATCTTTACAATGTTTGAAATCAGAATTTGATTCCTAGGGTTTGTACCAGAAGTTAGGCCTTCAGTCTAAGCTTGGGGTATAAAGAGTGAGTCCTTGGACGGAGGCTGTTGGCAACCCGGGCATGTCCAACCCCTCATTACAGTTACTGGCCCTGCCACTCACTTAACCTGCTCAGTGGCTCCAGAGAAGTCCCTTCAGCTCAGCTGCATCCCTGTTAAGTTGGAGAGTGGTTGGACAATGACAGCTTAGGACCCTTCCTGCTCAGAAGTTTTAAGGTCCTCTGGGATTCCCTGTGAACCCCTTCAAATAGTCCGCTTCACTTCTGCCTGATTCATAATCTGTGGCACTAGGAACCTTTATAAGTGCTGGACCCAAACTGGCCGCTTCTCTTGCAGAAAACAGGTTCATTTTAGCTGGTGCGTTTGACTGGAAACTCTTTATCGTGGCCTGAAGCGAGAACAAATGTGGAAAATTTTCAAAAAGGCGTTTCTGGTTCTGGGGACTCCAGTGCCTCTTTAATCATGAGCTTCCAGGTCTTATGATAAAACTCTTGGCATCTGAACAGATTCATGCCTTTGGTGTCATTTTTAGCAGCTCTAGTAGCACAGGGGTTATCAGAGACCAGAAGGTGTCATTGGCCACTATCTGATTGGGCTTTATACCTAGAAAATCCTCTATGAGTCTGTGCACTTTGTTGCTGCTTGTTTCAGTGTCTGACAACTCTTCTGGCTGCATCAAAGCCTCTAGGACCGAGGTTTAGAATTAGCTTGCTGTTTGAAGGGGATGTGGCTGTAATTTAGATTTTTATGTGAAAAGCAAATAATGATGTGACCTCAGACATGTTACATAATGTCTGTGGGTCTCAGTGTCATCACCTAACAGGGACAATAGTAGGGTATAAAGATGAAGAGCCTAAATTCCAGAGTCAAACTGCTTCTGTCTGGATCCCTGTTTTACCGCATATGTCCTGGGCGATTTTAGGCAAGTTGCCTAACTTCCTGGTCTCAGTTTCCTTGTCTGTAAATAGATAGAATGCTTTCTCTCAACAAAGGAGCAAACAAGAGATGAACAACCAGCAAATGCTAGCTAAACCCATTAGTACTTACTACCTAGGAGAGCTGCATGGATTGTTGTTACACTAGCTACCAATTTTTTTGAACATGTATAAATGCTAGGCAAGGAGGACATGATATAAATGTGCTAATTAAGCCTTATTAAATGATAATTCCTAGTAAATGATGAGCACATATAATCTATTCCAAACACCCAGCACTATTTTTCAGCTTTATCCATATTACAACATGCTGTCTTGAGCAATTTCATTCCCAAGCTTAGAAATACCTCCTGAGCCATGAGTCAGTTCTGAAGTTGCCATGGAGGCTATAGTCGCAGAAGTCTGTATAAGTAAGAAATCTGAGGAGCCTTGGAAAGTTAGTACTATAGATACAGTGGTGTGCACCATCTCTGTAGGGAAGCTTCGTTTTCCCGGAACTCTGATGTTCAGTGCTAACCTGTCTTTGGCAGCTTCCAGCTCAAAGGCCCTGTGGGCTGAGTTAGAAGTTGGGCAGCAGGCAAAGCTGGTTGGGGGGAAGCTGGGCCGTTGTGGGAGAGGGTGACTGGAGCGCAGTACTGACATGTTTCAAGCTGCATAGCTGGTCCTGTGAGGAGTGAGTTCATATGGAATCCAGCCTCAACTTCCCAGCCAGACATCAGTCAGCTAAGTGTATCTTATAGCATCTTCAGATCAGCCTGTCTGTCCACCCTTGAGGAATGCTTCTCTGTCTCCCTATGCTCACTTCTGGTGTGTGTCTGAAAAGAACAGGTCGTGAAAGCTGGGGGACTTGCGTTGAGATTGCCGGGGGTGTGGATGAGGTAGAGGGGACATGCCCTGTCTTGATAGGGTATCACATCCATCTGCTAGAGAGGGAATTTTTGCTCAATTAGACTCTTAATATCCATTTGGTTAAATGCCAAGTAGGGTCCTATTTGTTCAGCTAATTCCCATGATGTGTGTCTTGTGGCCACTTAGACGGGCCAGTCTGCTCCTGAAAAAAACTCCAAGAAGTACCTTTCAGGGCTTGTGAAGCAGACCTTTTTTTTTTTCTTTAGCATCTTTATTGGAGTATAATTGCCTTACAATGGTGTGTTAGTTTCTGCTTTATAACAAAGTGAATCAGTTATACATATACATATATCCCCATATCTCCTCCCTCTTGCATCTCCCTCCCACCCTCCCTATCCCACCCGTCTACTTGGACATAAGTACCGAGCTGATCTCCCTGTACTATGTGGCTGCCTCCCACTAGCTATCTATTTTACATTTGGTAGTGTATATAAGCCCGTGCCACTCTCTCACTTCATCCAAGCTTCCCCTTCCCCCTCCCCAAGGGCTTGTGAAGCAGATCTTTAAACGAGCGTGATGAATCCCACAAACCCCATAGGGGACAGCAGTAGCCCTGTATCCCAGTGATTCTACCGTAAAGGAGCAGCTGACTTAGCTCTGGGTTCAGAAACTCTTGATAGAGTCAGAGAAGTTAAGTCACTTTGCCCAAGGCCACCCAGCTAATAAGTGGAAGAGCTGGCTTTGAAGCAGGTCTATCTGATTTGGAATCAAGCCATGCTCTTTATAACCAAAGACCTGTGAGCGCCTGGTGCAGAGGTGGCCCACTGGGGTGATGCTTTCTTCCTTTTTAATGGCACTGCTTCTTTAGTAGATAGATTATTCTTGCCTTCTCTCTCCTGTTTCTAACATGTTTTTGGATGTTAATCAGTACCACTGTGCAGAGAGTGGAAGGAACTGGAATGAAAAATCTATTTCTGAAAATTTGATTCTTGGTTATAGGGATTTTTCACTTTATAGAATTATCAAAAAAAAAAAGAAAGAAAGAAAAGTTCACCCTTGAGACTCTCCTTTCCTACTCCTCTTCAAATCCTGATGCTGTGATTACTCCATTAGCACTTTCAAAGAGAACTACACAATTTTGTCTAGAACTCTTGATGTGCTTTGGGAACTGGCTACAGGAATTAGGACAGTGATAGTAATAGTAGCTAACATCTTTTAGGCATTTATTCTTACAATTGTCTGTGCATATTTAATTTTTAATTTTCCAGTAAAATAGTTGGTTAAATGGTAGTGCTGGAATTTAAAACTTGGCCATTGAATCCAGCACCCAGGTTCCTAACAGCTTTGCTCTATTTCCCACAATTTAAAAATAGAATATTTTAGAATACTAATTAGAATACTAATAAACATATTATTACTTATTCTATCTATAAATTGTGGATATTCTAAAACTGTAATACTTGACATTGGGCAAATCATGAAAGCTCGCTGGATCTGAGTTGCTCCATCTTTAAAATGGCAATTGTTTCATTTTCCTGTGATATCACATATTCATGCTGTGTTATCTCTTGCAGTCTCTATCGGCTTTAATATAGTCTTACTGTGCCCAGTTAGTATGTGGCAGCTTATTCCAACTTCTTTACTTACTAGCTTTGTGACTTGTGCAAGTTACTTAACTTCTGTTCCTTGGTTTCCTGTCAAAAAACTGGGGACAACAGCAGAATCTGAATCTTAGCGTTACAAGAATGAAATGAGTTAATTCATATAAAGCTGTGCCCGACACATTCGGAATGTTAGCTATTACTCTTGTTGTTTTAATCGCTATTACAAACTACTTTCACATACATTTTCCTGCTTGATCTTCCCAACGTTGCTGAGGATATTGACAGAGCAGGTAGTGTTAGGCCTATTTTATATGAGATCAAGAATCAGAGACCCAAGGTCACAAGAGCTCGCACGTGGCGGAGGACAGTAGGAACAGCAGTTCTGTTTAACTTCATCTTTTATGCATATATATGAGAGGAATGACCAGGTCTGTTGGTCATCAGAAAACCTGATGCTAGACTTAACAAATACAGTAGAAAAGAAATTAAGTTGGCAGGTAACTTCCCCATGTGAAAGTTTCACTGCAAGACTCTCCTAAGTAATAAATTCCCCTGTATAGCTAAAACAAGATCCAGAAAGATATTTCCCTGCAGGGCACATCTATACTAACTTACCCCACCTAAGCTGTGTGACAAAGAAGCATTGGAGGACATTATTTCTCCAACAGGCAGAGTGACAGCGGCGGGTAGCCCGGGTCTAGAGTCAGGAGCCTGGAGATGCTGACTGCCCACACCAGTGGCCGTGAGATTC